GTATTTGCACATAGCTGAAAAACTCAGCAGAAGTGAGATACTGACGGAAGTCAGGGCCTTTTCCTGCCATCAGGCCATAGATCCTGGGTGCTGTCAAGAGAGCCCAAGCAGGAGATTGTCCATAGGGGACAACAGACTTGGAAGCTTTTCTGTGCAGCGCCATCTCCCTTCATGCCACAGAAAGGAAAATCCATGAAACGCTGGAGCCAGACCTGATGAGAGAAGAATTCTTTATTGCATAACCTGGTCAGAAATCTAGGCTGGGCTACCGTTCTTTATCGCTTGGCAGGATGGTACTCAGCTTACGACTAGCAGTTCCAAGCTCATGGGGAGTCCATTGAGTTGCCCAGTGAATGGTCATCGGTATTTGCCTCAAGCGGTGATCCCAAAGTGCAATAGAGACAAAAAGAAGGGAGGATGGGGAAGATGAGGGGAGGGAAGTGATGTGATCAAGGTGTTAATGGAAGTCAGTAGCAGAGCTAGGCTAGGGGGTGCCCTGGACAGAAGAGAAAGGAAACTTGAGCTACTCTCTTGCTAAGCTCACGAAGGCAAGGAACGGCTTATCAGATATCAAAATATACAGATGGGAATGGAACCCAGCTGCTGTGATTCCCAGTCATATCCCCCCACCCACCCTCTACCATCAACAGACCAACCGTGCTTTGACACCACCATAAATCCCTCCCTCCCCCAGCAGCTCGCCAGTTTGGCTGGTAGCCAGATCCCCTTTGCGCAGCCCCGGCTGTCTATCGTTAAGATGCTCTGGGGTGATGGAGTGGGAACGGTGGCTTATTAATACGCCGGTGCCCCATTAGAAACATCTGCATCGATGGGGGAATGTGGGGGGCAGGTGGGGGGAAGGGAGGGGTATTAATGAATTGCACCCCCGCAGGGATGCCTAAATAGGAAGCTCTTTTATTCACTGGAGGAATCTGAGCATCTGTGTGCATGTGTGTGTGTGCGCGCGCACGCGCATGTTAGTTATGGGGTGGTGTGGAAAATTGAGGGGCGAGGCTCCCCATCCTGCACCCCACATCTCTGCTGACTTTTTGCTCCCCCCTTCTGTGCAATGAGTCCATTACACACTTTGTCACTGTGATCTGTCTCTTACCTTCACCTCCCAGAAATATGGCAGCATTGAGGCTGTTCCATCTGGCGCTACTACCAAACATCTCCCTCCTCCTCTCTCTTCACTTCACCCCCTTCACCCCCCACCGCCCAAGACTCTCCCCCACCCCACAGCTGCTCTGCCACACAGCAAGAATGGAGGAGCATCACAGAGGAAGTGAGGTTAGCTATGGCTCTATTTGTAACACAGCCACAACCAAACAAAAGACATATATCTATGGAGCTTGGTCTTCTGCATGCCAGAAAATCAAGACTCCTGAACTGTGGCATAATCACCCAGATTTGAGTAAACTGGTTCTGGTTCCTCTGCGCATGCCCAGAGACTGAATCTTTTCATGACTACTTCGCATCTCCCAGAGTGGAGGCCTGGTATGCAATATATACATCTTTTTTTACAGGGACTGTGATAAGAATTAGGGAGTACACAGTGGCCTTCTCAGCAGGTGAGTTTTAACAGTCTTTCGATCATCCTGTGGCATGATGGCTATCACTTGTAAAGAGTGTCTACCTACATAGTACCAGGAAACCAAAATGGGATCTGGTCCCCAGTGGAACAAAGGTTAAGGATGATGGCTCCAGAAGGTGGCAAAGTCATTTGCCAGGACCTTGTCAAAGGGCATCATGGACTGGTTGGCTGCAGAGGAGTGGTGGGAGAAACTAGCTGGGGAACCACCAACAGAAGAAGACTCAGAGCCTGGGGGTTGGTGGTGGGACAATGACGAGTGGTCAGAGGGAGAAGACAGGGAGGAGGAAGTGTCGGAAGCTGAGGAGGTAACAGGGCTTAGTGAGCTGGGAGACTTGGTGGCAGAGAGCAGTCCAGAATCAGGGGCAGAAGCTGAAGCAGGAGAGGAGGGAGGCCAAGAGGCAGTGGTGGGTCAGGCTTGTGAAGAGGCATGGGCGTGTCTCCAGTTCCTGCTGCAACAAGCTCCCCTCCCCATTGGCCTTCCAGAACCAGGAGAGGCATGAAGTGGGAGGAGCAAAGACAGACACAGGCACAGTTTCTAATTGCTTGGGGGAAAGCCCTGGAAAAGAGGAGACATTTCTGGCTGTGGGGAGGTAGGGAACCTTTAGTCTCGGCAACTGCTTAATTGGGTAAAACCTGACGGAGATGAGTTGCTGTTCTCATTAGACCTGACACTCCTGTGCAGATCCTGCTTTGCTAATAAAGAGTTAACTCCAACTTGCTCAGTGTGATTTACTGCTGGCTTGCTCCTGTTAAAGGGTCAATTTCCTCAACAGCAACACTACTCTCCCTTTGGATGGAGCTGAAAGCAGCACGAGAGAGCAGCTTCCTCAAAGTTGAAAGGACACACTGAGAATGCCATGCCTGGGTACCCCCATCCCCAAATATTAGAGCAGGGGTGTGGAACACTTTTCAGTGCAAGGGCCAAAATTCCCTCCTGAGTAACCTTCCAGGGGCCAAATGGTGGGCAGGGCCAATGGAAAAAGTGGGCAGAGCAACGAATGCGGGTTTTACCTTCCTATAGTAGGCTAGTTTTTACATACAGTCACACGCTCTCTATCCAGGCAAGCAGGAAGAGGACACATTCCAGCCAGGCTGGGACACACTTGTGGAGGATGCGTACCAAGGCTGGTAAGGGGTGTGGCCTGCGGAGAGGGGAGTCTCAAGGACCATATAGGGCTGGAGGACTGCAGATGGGCCCCCTGGGCCTGAGGTTCCTCATCCCTGCCTTAGAGCCAAGCCTGGATCTCTCCTCAAGCCCATGTGACCAAAGAAGGGAGGGAAGAGAAAGGAGCCTTTTAAAGACTAATTACCTAAAGATGAGTATCTGAGGTTTGTTAGCATGGGTTTCTCTCTCCAGCCCCCCACTCCTCTCATCAGTCAGCACAGCCGCTGGAGGAGAGAAGAAAGTGAAGACATAAAAAAGATCTGGCAGATGAAAGGAGGAAATGGGAGATGAAAACCCAACTGTTTCCTAATTGCGCTGTGGACTTCCTCTAATGGGCGCCACCTTCCTGTTTGCTCACGCATGCGAGTGTGCGCAACACACTCTTTGATGGGGCGAAGTGGGGGGAGAAAGGATTGTGCTAAAGGCCTGATCTCAGACTAGGCCTTTCGCATTGCAGAATATCAAAGTGGTGCCAATCAAATTTCCCAAGCACTCAAGCAATGCTATGCAGAAGACACCTGGGGACAGAGTGCCCTGTGGATGACTTGTTCCTTCTGCAGTCGTCCCAATTTGCTTGCACAAAGCTTCTGTAGAGGTTTGGCTATGTCTGGTCTTTATTGGGCCTCTTGGGCTTGCCAATCGTAACGTCAGCAGTTCAAATCCGTGTGATGGGGTGAGCTCGTTGCTCTGTCCCAGCTGCTGCCAACCTAGCAATTCAAAAGTCTACCAGTGCAAGTAGATAAATAGGTACCGTTGCAATGGGAAGGTTTCTGTGCACTTTGGCACTCGTCACAGTCCGTGCGCCTGTAGTGCTTTAGTCATGCTGGCCACACGACCTGGAACGCTGTCTGTGAACAAACACCAGCTCCCTCAGCCTGAAAAGTGAGATGAGCGCCACACCCCATAGTCACCTTTGACTGGACTTAACCATCCAGGAGTCCTTTACCTTTACCTTACCTTTTCTGATTTGTCTGCGGGGACGTTAGATGACAATGAGCCTCAGAGGTAGATTTAGGGGAGCGCAACCGGTTTGCCCACACTGGGCACTGAGCCGAGAGTGTGCCACAGGAGGTACCACAACAGTGACTTAGAACGGAAGGTGAGAGGTGGAAGGGCACTGAATTTTGGCCTTACACAGGGCGCCGTTGAAATTTGAAATCCCAAAGTCTGCCAAGTACTTGAAATTGAACCCATGCACCCAAGTCACAATCTAGCGGGAGGAATCTCCTCTGCGACACACCCCACACTGAAGTGAATGGGAGCTGCCCTCAAGCACTCCTCCCATTCATTTCTGTGGGGTCTTGGGCAGGAAAACTTCCTGTTGCTGAATTGTGCCCTTTATTTTCAGTCGAAGAGCATCCATAACTGGGAATGCTGAATGCATACAGAACAATTTGGACTGGGAGAAATTGCGTGGAAACTTTTCTCAACGTGTTTTGCTTCCCTCCTGCTTAACAGTCCTTTGCTTCCTTAAGAGAGGGCTCCGCTAAACCTCTCCTTCCTTCCTTCCTTCCTGCCATCTTATGCCAGCTCCTGCTCTCTGGAGATAGCTTGGGAGGTGAGCTGTGGCTCCTAATGTGCTAAGACAAGGAAAATCACCGTCAATCTCCTCAACGTGAAGGCACCAGAGCAGAAGGGTGCCTGCAAGCACACTCAAGCAGCCCTCAGGCCCCGGCGGCAAAAAAAGAGGACGAGGCAAGCGGCCACATGGACAACAGTGGTGCGCTCCATCAGGGCCGCATGTGTGATGTGTTCCGAGGGAAAGGGAAGGTGGAGGACTTTCAGAGAACGCTTGGGGATTTGGGCTCAGAATGTGCTTCTTGGAAGGGAGAAGGAGCTAAAGAGCCACTTCAGACATTAGGCCCAGACTGGCTGACAGGCAAGACCAAGGATTGTGTCCTGTGCTAGTTCCACTGAATAGAATGGATTTAATTTAATCCCCATTTCTTTAAAGGGTCTTTTCCATTGGGTACAATCATAAATGCCTGCCTCTGTGCCCTTCTATTTACCTTCCCCTGGGCCCCATTTATTATTTTTAGTAGTAGTATCACGATCATCATAGTTATTGGTAGCGTTTTCTATTTACTTCTTTGTTTGTACTTACAGTTCCACGCCCCCCCTTCACCGAATGGTCCTGGGGGAGGGATTATAAAAATATGACAATGAAAACACAGGATAAAACAAGTCCATTATATTAAAATGAGAGAATCACAAACGGAACCTATAACAAACTTAATGAGCTGGGATAGCTCAGTGGGTAGAGCATGAGACTTCTTAATCTCAGGGTTGTGGGTTTGAGCTCCACACTGGGGAAAATATTCCTGCATTGCAGGGGGCTGGACACTGCGTGGCCCTTCCAAATCCACAGTTCTATAGAAGGCTGATCGCCGAAGTATTGATGCTTTTGAATTCTGGTGCTGGAGGAGACTCTTGAGAGTCCCATGGACTGCAAGAAGAACAAACCTCTCCATTCTTAAGGAAATCAGCCCTGAGTGCTCACTAGAAGGACAGATCGTGAAGCTGAGGCTCCAATACTTTGGCCACCTCATAAGAAGAGAAGACTCCCTGGAAAAGACCCTGATGTTGGGAAAGATGGAGAGCACAAGGAGAAGGGGACAACAGAGGACGAGATGGTTGGACAGTGTTCTCGAAGCTACAAACATGAGTCTGACCAAACTGCGGGAGGCAGTGAAAGACAGGAGTGCCTGGTGTGCTCTGGTCCATGGGGTCATGAAGAGTCGAACATGACTAAACGACTAAACAACAACATGATTCTATGAAATATCATCAGTGCAGGAGGTAACCAAAGTCTGTGTGAAGAGGTGCGTCTTGACCAGCCATCTAAAAGCATGCAGTGATGGTGCCAGATGCATCTTGGTGCCTGGGGGAGCCACCACAGAGAAGCCCCCCCCCCCGGCACCACTATGTCTCATAGGATAATCATTACTAACGATATCATTACCATCATTGTTTTTATTTTCCATGGGTGTTCTGGCATTTACTCAAGGATCTAAAATGCTCAGGCTTTTTCTATAAGGAGGCTCATCCATTGCGTAAGAATGTCCTGCATAAGAATGTCAAATCTGAACCAGAAGCTTTCGTACTGGGTATAGTGGGGTAAAAAGATACCAAGAAAAGATTTAAAAATTGTTCTTATATGCAACAACTGCAACCAGAATTTTATTAGCCCAAAAATGGAAACAGCATGAAGTACCAACAAAAGAAGAGTGGCAGATGAAATCGATGGACTTTGCAGAACTGGAGGAACTGGCGGGAAGAATCCAGAACCAGCGAGATCAAGTATTCCAAAAAGACTGGAACAAATTTATATTATATTTGAAAGACAGCTGTAAGCAATTAACATCATTAGCAGGGTTATCTGAAGATTTGTAAGATGAACTAGTTACCTATTCAGGTTGAGTAATTTAATATCTTAAGTAATGATATAACAAGAATAGGAAATGAAGTGAAATGCAAAAAAGTAAAATTTAATTTTGTAAACCATTAGGCGGGTGGGAGGGAAGTCGTTTAGGCTCAGTTGAGCCAAGAGATTTAATAAGAGGGTACAATATTACATATTGTGATTATATGTAAAACTAATAAAAACCAAATTTTTTTTTAAAAAAGAGTGTCAAATCTGGAGAAGGGCATTCTCCCCCACCTACTTCGTAGGGAAGACTGCACATGTATTGCCCCTCATTTTCCATTTAGGCTTTATGCCCCAAACTGGATTTTGGATTTCGCTCCTAAAATTGGATAGCCCTTCGTTTCCAGCAGGGGTAGTCAACAGGTGTCCTCCAAATGTTGTGGGACTCCAACTCCCATCAGCCCTATCCAGTATGGCCAATGGGAGCTGTAGTCCAGCAACAGCTAGAAGGGACCCCATTGGCTACCCCTGATTTACACTACAACAATATGTAAGTGAGTTCCGCTTAGTTCAATGAGGCTTACTTGCTGGATAAGCGGGTTTGGAATGGCAGTCTCATTCTCAGGTGTGTGTTTTTCCCCTGATGCCATATGCAAGAAGTATAGCAACATCTATTATAGGAGCTGTTTTCATCCTTTCGTTCTCCAGAAATATGTTTGGCCTACTGTCATCTCTTGTTTTCTCTGTTATAATAGGCTCAGCCCAGTGCAAAGTGTGATATCATTATTAGAGTCAGGACTCCACTTCTAGTAACAGGGTTGTTCCGAACTGCTTAGTTGGCACACTGACAGAGAATAGGCTTTGTTTTCTGCAACCTGGTGGCACGTGGCAAAATATTCTGTACAGTGGTACATTGGGTTACAGACACTTCAGGTTACAGACTCCGCTAACCCAGAAATAGTACCTTGGGTTAAGAACTTTGCTTCAGGATAAGAACAGAAATCGCGCGCCAGTTGCGCGGCAGTAACAGGAGGCCTCATTAGCTAAAGTGGTGCTTCAGGTTAAGAACAGTTTTAGGTTAAGAATGGACCTCTGGAACGAATTAAGTTCTTAACCCGAGGTACCACTGTACTGGATAAGCCAGGGCAGCCTGCTATTATATGTTACATTGTTTCTGATTTATCATTGAATTTCCTAGAAGTTCCTATAGCTGCTTTGTTATGTGTCAGGGAACTGCCATCGGACGGAAGGGAGGTGAAAGGGCTCACACAGGTTGGGAGAGACTCAGCAGCTGAAGAGGGAACCAGCAGGGAGGTGAAAGGGCTCACACAGGTTGGGAGAGACTCAGCAGCTGAAGAGGGAACCAGCAGGGGGAGAGGAGCTGAGCTGGAGGGATGGCTCAGAGACACTTCCAGCGAAAACAGTGGGGAGGTTTCAGGACCTCCTGTAAGAACACCCACTCCTCGCCGGAAACTGTCACGCAGAGAGTCCAGAAGACGTGTTTCCGTTAAGGAGCTTTTATGTTGGAAGCGATTACGAAAGCAACCACTGTCGGAATCTGCTAGTGACTAGAGGAGCCATGTCTGAGGGGCTCCGTCACAGACAGAGGTTTGTGGACTTGAACAAACTCTGAGGGGATACGATTTTACGCACAAGCAGCTCATCATCCCATCACAGCATTCCGACAGTCTTTGAAAGCAGCTTGTGCAGGAGAAGGCATCATGAGCAACCCAGCCGGAACCGGAGAAGCAGGAGCTGGAGCGGGTCCAAGCCTGGAAGAAAGGTACCGGGTGTTGGAGGTCCAGCTAGCGATGCAGACGGCGAGGCTTGAGGAGAGGAGGGCTCAGGATGCAGACAAAAGGGGAAAGCCACCCAGCTCGCCAGAAAGGTACCAGGATTGGTGCAGAAGTTTGGGGGGGAGCCCAAAAACTATCATGGCTTTCGGACAGAAATGCAATATGCCCTCAATCTGCAGTTTGATGAATCCCTGACGAGGAATCACGAGTGGCTTTCGTGATTGAGCATCTTGAAAAGGGGGCGAGAGACTGGGTTAGACCCCTGATGGCAGCGAATAGTGACGTCCTAAAGGACACGATGAAGTTCTTTCGCGCCATGGATCTGATGTTTTCCAGCGATATTGAACAGGGAGTGGTGCGCAGACAGTTAATGGCTTGCAAACAGGGGAGCCGATCTGTCCGTGAGTACTGGACTGAGTTCACCATGCTTGTTCACAGATTGGGGTGGGACTTATCGGCGGAACCCATTCAAATGCTCTTTGAAGAAGGGCTTTCTTCGGCTGTGAAAGACGAACTTTCCCGGGCGCCCAGGGCGGAGTCTATGGACCAGCTGACCAAATCAGCGCTGACCATAGGAGCGCGCCAGGAGGCGAGAGCATTGGAGAGGCGGGAAGGGAAAGGGGAACGTTGGAAGGAGTTCCGCATTCCAGACATTCCAGAGCCAACTTTCCCGCCGGCAGAGCCGATGGAAATCGGAACAGCGCGCGCGCGCAGTTTCAAAGCCCAGTGAGGGGGAAAGAAGGAGGGAAAAGGCGCCCGGAAATGCTATCTCTGCCAACAGCCAGGTCACTTTGCCAGAGTCTGCCCCCAGAGGAAGGAATGGCAAGGGATGGTAGGAGCTGTGGATGGAAGAGAGGAAGAAATACCGGAGCAAGTAAAGCCAACGCCTGGCTGCCACTGTCGGGGCACAGCAGCCAGGCCAAAGAGCAGTGAGAGTGCCCACGCCAGAACCTCCTAAACCCGCCCTAGTGATAGAAGTGACGCTAGAGCTGCCAAACGGACACCCTCTAAAGATAAAGGCGCTGTTGGACTCAGGCAGCTCCTGCAATTTCATGAGCAAAGAGTTTGCAGCTGAACACCAGATACAGACGATCCCTTTAAGCAACCACCTGCAGGTGACCACGATCGATCGAAGGGAGCTGTTGGGAGGAGAAGTCAGCTTGCAGACCGTCCCAATGATAATGAAGGTAGCAAGGCACACCGAACTGATAGCTTTTAATGTGGCCACCTTGGGAGGAGCTCCCATTATATTGGGGATGAGCTGGCTAGCGTTACATGATCCGCTGGTGGGCTGGCATCAGAGAGTGGTTTCTTTTGGTTCAGCACATTGCTTAGAACACTGCAAAGAGGGAAAGGGTTTGGCAGGGGCCCAAGCCACCCTAGCAGGGACTGAAGTAACGGAGAACGTGAAGGTACCACGACAATATGCAGATCTCCGTGACGTCTTCAGCGAAAGGGAAGCTGACCAACTACCCCCGCATAGACCCTTTGACTGTCAAATCAATTTACTTCCTGGAGCACAGCTCCCTGTAGGCAAGCTGTACGCCATGTCAGACAGAGAGATGCAGGAGTTAAGAGAGTTCATTGACAAGAACCTGAAGAGAGGGTTCATCAGAGAGTCCAGGGCGGTGGGGGCAGCCCAGTGTTTTTGTGGATAAAAACACGAACAAGCCGAGGCTGGTGTGTGACTTCAGGGCCTTAAATGCAGTGTCAGAACCAGTGGCCTTCCCTATGCCCAGGATTGACGACATTTTGACAAGGGTGCGGAAGGGAAAGATTTTCACAAAGCTGGACCTAAGGGGGGCGTACAACCTGGTACGAATAAGGAAGGGGGATGAATGGAAAACCACTATGTTCACCCCTTTAGGGGCATTTGAATATTTGGTTATGCCCTTCGGCCTACAAGCAGGCTCCGCAACATTTCAATCGTTTATGAACCACGTCCTGGGGCCTTTGCTTTACAAGAATTGTGTGGCCTTTTTAGACGACGTGTTGGTGTATTCTGAGAATGAGGAGCAGCATGTGAGAGACGTCAGAGAAGTGTTGAGCAGGCTGCAAGCCAACCAGCTGTGGGTGAAACTGGAGAAGTGTCAGTTTCATACCAAGGAGGTGGAATTCCTGGGGTATCGCCTGTCAGACAAGGGATTGGCCAT